TGGGAGAGGTGGGAGGAGGATGAAACGTGCGCTGTAGGAAAACGAGTTTTGCTGTATCTACCCATCCTCAAAACAAACTATGAGATCTGGGCATTACCTAAATTATCAACGATAATAAATATTTTATCACTATCATTCTCCCCTCACTCCCCCCCCCACCAAAAAAAAAGTCACCAACAAAAATAGACAATTTAAGGGGGGATAAATCAATAGCTTTTGATGAAGTTAAAAAAAACTTTATTAGTACTGATTTCTAAAATAAGGCATTGTAGCTGTACAAGAAAAAAAATGTTGGTTTTATTGTATGAAAATGGGCTGTCTCAGCAAGACATTCTAAAACTTCTGTTAAGTTTTAACCCAAGCTAAGAGAGGGCTACTGCTCCTCAGGCAAAGCAAAATCAATAATGTTGCCCTCAAATAGATTTTCTTTGAAGTTTTTTTTTTTTTTTATCTCTATATACTTTCTCCATCTCAGGGAATGTGATCATTTTACCTCCCAACTACTTCTAATTTGTGGCATACCTCACTTACATTTAAAGAAATGATATATTGATTACCTTGCTTCTCAGGACGAAAACTGTGTTGATGTGTGAAAGGATCCCGTGGAAACTAATATCGATATGTGGGCGAACCAGAGAGAAGACAGACAGAAGGCTGCAATTCCCAGGCTGGAGCTAACGTGTAGATAAAAAGAAAAGGGCACATACTTAGTTAAAATAGTTGTTATGATTTGATATTAAGTACTTCATTAAACCAGCTCAATTATTTTTAAAAGTAGAAAACTCTAATTATTTGGGGGAGGGGAACAGCTCAACTATGAACTTGAAGCTTGACCTATGCAAATCTATTTCAGTACAAGTAAAAAGTACCTATAAACACTCGTCATGTACAACTCCGAAGTTAGTAGACGAAAGAAAAGTAAAAAATGCAGGATTTTACCAATGGGTGTAACACTGTCTGCAAGTCAGCTGCAGGTGCTCACCATCACCCCAACTGCTGCCTTTGGTGTTTTTGGTACTATACTATGATAATCCCTTTCCCCCTTAAGTGCTTTTTAAACTTCTGTTCTTTTACCTAAAAACATTAATAGTTGATTTTGAAAGCTATTTTCAGATGGTAGATATTCAATGACTATTTACTTGATGAGTGAAAAGCTGTCAGGTACTAGAAAGTTACCCATTCTCTCATCAAAACAAGTATACCATTTCTACCTAAGGTTCCTAACTGTTTTCGTAAGTGATTAAAATGGACAAAAATAAACAGTTGTCCCAGGGAGAGTCACAGCATGCTCAGACACAGCCAGAGTTAAATAATTTAATAAAAAATGTGCTGCCCATTCTCTCATTCATAGTCAAAGGTCAAGTGAATCAACGGCTGGGTGTAACCATGGTAATTTTATACCCTTTTATCTTAGGCCCCAAGGAAATGTGCTGTCATTTTACCTGGGGCAGCACTCTGTATATGGCATTGCCACACTGAGTGACCACGAGGTCCCGATCAAATATTATATGAAAAGGAAAAGCTTTGCAGAAGGTATAGGGGCTGATGCGTGATTCCTGGGTACCATTTTCTTCAAATCTGTCAAGGTCTTCATAAAAATCTTCTTCTTTTGACTCTTTTTCTTCAATTAAAAATTGAGTATGATCACATTCTTCATTTCTTTGCTGAATAACCTGGATAACCAAGGGAGGAACTGACATCAATGGTCTGTATTTCAGTTGAGATGAAATACCTAACTAAATATAAGAAACCAGTTGTGAGAATTGTTTTGAGAGGATTCACTGCAAAAATTTAATACATATGCAAATACTATGCATGTTTACACCGAGAAAGACATTTCTGGACATTGATCTATGAAATTTGAAGACTGAAGAATTATTCACAGTAATAGTGCAAATCTGACATTAGTTCCTATCTCAGATGGCCTCTTTGACAGAATAAATAGAAAAGGGTGCCCTTGTCCTGGGGGGCTCTACCTCCTTGGCCAGGGACACTTGTATAGTGAAGAATCTAAAAACCACACGAGGTAGCACTGTCAAGTATAATAAAACTGATATTGTAAAACTGTAGGAAGTAAGAGGGTAGAGAGACATATTCAAAAATAAATGTCACATAATTGTTTATCAATTTTGTCAAGTATACTCAGATATAATTCCAAACTGGGAAAGGACCCAGAAAAAGAAGCATCTCAGAAACTACTAATGGGAAGGCATTTTCATTAATCTTTCTTAAGGATGTATTGATAATATGCAGAAAAATATTTCAAAATTTTGTGAATTCTTTGATTTAAATTCCAAATACAGGGATTCATTCTAAGAAAAATAATCATGATCATGAACAAAGCTCTATAATTTGAAGAAATAACTACATGTCCCAAATATTATATGTATTCACAAATATATTAAAGCATATATTTTTTCTTCTTAGTTTAAGAAATTACAAGCAGCGCGTCCTCTTACAAAGGAACGACTTTATCTCTACTGCAGCCAGATTCAAACAGGAAAATGGTTGGGGCAACAGTTCTGTAGTTACAGTTAAATGGAAACAAAATGTTGCTCATTTTCATTTTTTTCACCACTGTAGCATACTCTGAGGTTTAAAAAAACAAATTTCAATAACCTCAAATTCTATTGCATATGTTCTTACAGATATATTTTTATAGCAAAATTAGGATGTCATTACTGTTTTAACCATCACAATCATTTACTACTTTGGTTAAATATTAGTATTCTTATTTATAATTTGAACATTTTGCCCCATTAAAGTTGCCTTCTCTAAATTGTAGACAAAAAAACAAACAAAAAACCAAAACAGAGTCACCCTTAAAATTCCTGCCTAATTTTTAAGTTCTTCTCTATTCCCATTTAACTAAAGGAACTGGATTATATGTAGTCAAATGTGTAAATTATTATTCGATTCTACTTTTTCTGCTTTGATCAAACTGGCAAAATACATTGCTTTTTGGACTATCATTTTAACTACTTATTGGTATAGCACTTCTTGACATGATCTAATATTTATTATACGATTCCAATGGTCTAGTATGGATCTAATATTTATTATATGATTCAACTGATTGATTCAGTTGAAATATGATTCATATTTATTATATGATTCAAATGGTCTATGTGGACCACTTAGAACTTCTGTATTTGAGTTAAGGATACCTCAAGAATTAAAACAGTGCCTCTGAAAAAATTAACTATACAAAATATATTTACAAAATGCAAATATTTCAGAGGTTTGTATTGTGGCACTTGAATAAACAAAAGCTTTAAGAGAAGCTATAGAACCTATATATTATATAAAGTAAACAATGTAATTAAATAAAACTTGAATTTCATACTGTTTTCTACCCTATCAATCTCTCATGGCAAAAACAAAATTCCATAGTAACTGCAGTTACCAAGTGTGCCCTAATTTGTCTTTCTTTCTGAAGTTTCTATGCACCTGTTCTTGTTCAGCTTGGCTAAATGAAAAATGAAAAACGACATCATGCATAAAAGCCCCTGATACCCTCTCACTCAGGACAGATGTTGTGTGTATTTGTTGTTAAGAGCAAATACTGGAAAAAAGAGGCATATACTATTTTGATTGAATCACATGGAGATTCCCAATCATGGATGAATTTTGACTCTCTACCTAAGGTTTAATTTTTATCTCTAGATTTAATAGTGTCATATTATATTCATACATATTCTCACTTTCTGGAAGAAAAACTAATGCTGCAAAAAAAAAAAAAGAATTAAAAAGAAAAAGAAAAACTAATGCTGCATCTGGGAATCACCAACCAGTGTCACGTAGTAATTGATATCAATTCCTAAAAAAAGCTACAAAATCTAATGTAACTTTACTCACATTGCTAGATTAAATTATGGGATACTTTTCTTATATAATTAATTTAAATGTTAGAATTTTTATTGTACACAATAGTAAATCGTTACTTAAGAATTTTGGGCAACTTGTGTGTTTGCACGTGAAGTATGTATGATACTTGTCTATGGCTAGACCACCCTAACACACCTGGTCTCATCTGCTCTCGGAAGCTAAGCAAGGTTGGGCCTGGTTAGTACTGGGATGAGAACATAACTCTGCTATCTAAGAAAAAACTGCCTATTAGACTTTCCATGAAGAAGAAAAAGTTGAAATAAGGAATCTCTCTGCCCACTTTGGCTGAAGTTTTAGGCCACTGTGAAATGGCTCTTGTTGCTGAACACGTGGAGCACACAGACAGCAGCTGACTGAGAAAGAACACATGGGCCAGAGACAGAAGAAACTGGTGGTTCTCTGTTGTACCATGAAAATGTCACTCAGAACTAAGAGTGTGTATAGTATC